AGAATGTGTCTTAAAGTAACATATCCCCTACAGTATGCGATAGATGCGATACTTTGTGACTAACATAACTTGATTATAACCTCCCATTATGACGTGATATTTGTTTATTTTAAAGTTTAATTCTATTTAGTTTAAAAATATAACATATGTAAAATATGTGAGAAAAAGATGGAAATGCCAAAGATATGTTTTTATTTAATTATATTTCCCTTTTGTAATATTATATTTTAAATAAATGAATATTATTCAACCATTAAACGCATTAAGAAACTATTTATTAAAATATTATCATATATGCAACATGTTATATAAGCAATAGATGTTATATATCCAATAGATATGTCGCTTTTGGCACCCATTTTCTTGGAACTCCATTTTTGTGCGTTTTACAAAAACATTTTTTGTTTTAAATATAGAAACAATTTCAGTAAAAATATGATATTATCTAATAAGAGGTACTTTCAACTACATGTATATATATTTACATATATATTTTGAGTTTTACATTAAGACAATCTTCAAAAACAAAGTGGTACGTCGCTTTTGGTGCCTTTAATCTATACGGTGTATCCGGTAACTTACAAAGGAGCCGCGGTGTATAGGTAAATTAGATCATAAATTGAATATAAAATATATTGATGTGCAGATAACTTATCTTTATTTTATTCTACGTAATCTCACTCGAAGATCAATATGTCAAAAATATATGAGATAGTAATATTTTCCAAGCAAAAGTGTCTTTATTATATAAATCATGAAAATGAAGTGAATGAAAAAGCACGAATTAAGCTGAATTTAAAAGCGCTTAAATCAATATTCAATACATCTACAGAATCCGAGCAGTTGTTTGATCCGACACAATATCAGGGGAAGAGAGTAGCTTGTACTTTATAAACTTGTGCATTACGAAACTGTTGTCAATGCAATTTTTCATAAAGAGACGCGGAGAATGGTATAACATATAAGAAGGACAATTATTAGAGAGATAATGAGATTACATAACTAATGAAATTACATAGCATCCTCCCGGAAGGGAATAAAATCATTATATTCTTCATTTCATCGCGGTGTACGTCAAGACCTCCACAAGCACGATCGGCAGGAAATTATGTGCTCTTGTCACTCCGCCGGTGCAACGTAATCGATACTTTTTACGAGGTCGAGTACTGGCTCGAGTAATTTAATAAGGTGAAGCTCTCTCCTTATTCCAACGGAGACGCATCTTTGAACGTTTGCCGATGTCACGCCTGTCTCCTCTAAGTTCACGCGACGACATGGAGTAATGTAATGGATCGGAGGAAATCTCGAGATTACTGATACCGTGTTCCCAAAATAACAAAATAGAATCTCGCGTACCCGAGTTTATCGAAAATCGATGGCACGCCTTAAACAATTCCGACAATTTTGAAAAGTGGTTTCCAAAGTTCGGCAAGAATTTTTTATATTTCAGGGAAAGCCCTCTCCTCTTCCCCTACAAATACACACATACATGCGCGCAAAAATCTCGTAGTCTTAAACTTAATTGGAAATCAAAACTTTCACCGCAGTCTTCGCAATTTCGATATTGTTATTTGCAACGCGGAATTTCCTCAACTGTTAATGTTAAGTTGAAAAATGTTAATTTAAAAGACAAGTATTTTCGATTCATCTTGGAAAAATATTGCGTATTACTCGTCCTAAGTCAGTTTCGTTATGCAAACGGAAGAGTAGAGGAAAAATATTAGAGCAAGAATAAGGCAGATAAAGGGGCGGAGGAGAGGGAGGAAGGGAAGGGAAAGAAAATTGAAAGAAATATACAGAAAGTGAAATGTGTAGGATGCCACAAAACGGCAAGGGTGGCTTCTCGCGAGGGGGAGACCTCTCGCGTCGTCGCGCGACTCCAATCGCCGTGCGAATTCTCCGCGCAACTCGACGTACCGGCGCATCGTCGGCGCATAATCAGAGGTCAACGAAATGGAAAACACGGTCACGGTAACTCGAAATCGATGGTGGATGCCCGCGACGGTGCGCGATTCACTCATACCAATTCGCAGCGCAGCTTCCGCTTTGCAAATGCAACACGCGACGCCCAAGCAAATAAATTGGCGAGACGGCGCCTTCGCCTCTTGATATTTATTCGCGATCTTGCCGACCCTCCCGGACAGCTGGCGACACACCGGGCTTCGCGCATATCCCGGTCAACGACGACGGTCATTCCGCTTATCGAGTTTGGCACGAGACAAGATGTTTATCGATTTATTTAATACGCGCGCGGCAAGCCAGCAGATAAGCAGTTAAAGTAACACGCTGATCTTGCATCTTAATGACCAAATCGGTTTGTTACACTAAAGTGTTAGATGAGCGATAGCGCCTACTCATGTTTGCAATACGACTGCATTATGAATTCAACATGTTCTTTTTGGAGACAATATTTTTTTTTTTAATTTGCGCATTTTTCGGTGACTGGCGAAATTTATACAGGAATACAAAATTTGTATCCACTTGAAACTCAGATTAATTCACATACTCAGATTAACAATCGTTGCTTTGTGTAACGATTGTTACAACGATAAGCAACGCTATTTTGTTTGAAGAATTTTAAAGCCTTGAATTTCAATGATGTAATCTTGTTTGAATACCATAATAATTTCACAAGAAATACAATATGATATTTTGATGATAATGATATCTCTTCTTGCGACATTTAAAAATATCATATTTTCAATCCAATATTTTTCATTCATAAAAATTATTTTTGAATAATCAGAATAAGCTTTTCTTTGATCATATCATAAAAAAATCATAAATCATATAAAATACATTGAGTAACTTGTCTTTGTTTAATACTATACAATCTCATTTTAAGATTTGCATGTCAAAAATAGAGATATTTTCAAACATAAGAATATTCTTTTTCTCTGTGTGTACGCTTCCCCTTCTTCTTACGTTAAATGAGTCAGTCAGAAATGAAATTTCCTGACTGATTAGTGATTAAGAAACATACCGACATATGTAACTGCTTGCAACAACAGGGGAAATCGTATTTTTTTAAAGAGAAATATGTATCGAAATTGACGAATCGGTTCCAAAAGTGTCATCGAGGAGATATGGCCTAAATAATGTGAAGATTGTTTTCAAACTGTTTGCTGCAATGTATAGTTCAAATCAAGCAATTTGAGCGGTACATTAAATTGCACAGCAGAATTCGCGAAGAAAAATATCCATCATTTGTCCCACAAAACTCACAAAACTGGCATGCAATATTGACATACCTATCATATTAATTAATCCGCCACGACAATTAGATTCATGATATTGAACAAAAATTCAATAAAACTTTTTGTTGAGACATCGAACCGTGATAAACATGTCGAGTGTGCGCGAATATGCGATAGATTTGTTTTCTCAACGTTTCCAAAAACAACTAAGTGAAAAGAAAGGATATATTAATATCGAGACGGTGATGTTAGACGGTAGATGTTAGACAATCAACCTAAATAATTCAAACGAACTCTTACATTAAGAAAATATTATTTTGACTTACGTCTCAAAGTATGTGAGGCTTAAGTAGACCGTCGAGAATCAGATGATGAGAATCACTCGCGAGCCATGAACAG